CCTCTGAGGGACCATGGTGAAATTTACTGTCCAGTTAGTACAGTTAATACAGTACATACGATGCTGCTGATAGGGCAGGGTAACTCAAACTGATGCTGCCTGCATGGCGCATTGCCGCCGCGAGTTTATTCAAATACTGTACAGTGGCATGTATCAGTCGGCCCAGCCCTGCTGCCAGTTATACTGTCTTAAGTCGAGTGGACGTAAGTCAAGTGGACGTATGTCGAGCAGGTCGTAAGTCTGATGGTAGGTGTATTTATAGATGGGGTTGTAAAAGAAGTAAATGCTAGGGTGTTCGGGAGAGGGGTTTGATTAAATTATGGGGAATCAAATACAAAATGGGAATTGATAGTTACTTTTTTCTGATGATACTGTGCTTATGGGAAATTCTAAAGAAAAATTGCAAAGGTTAGTGGACGAGTTTAGAAGTGTGTGTAAAGGTAGAAAGTTGAAAGTGAACATAGTAAAGAGTAAGATGATAAGGGTATCAAATGATTTAGATAAAGAAAAATTGGATATCAAATTGGGGAGGAAGAGTAGGGAAGAAGTGAATGTTATCAGATATTTGGGAGTTGACGTGTCAGTGGATGGATTTATGAAGGATGAGGTTAATCACAGAATTGATGAAGGAAAAAAGGCGAGTGGTGCGTTGAGGTATATGTGGAGACAAAAAAACGTTATCTATGGAGGCAAAGAAGGGAATGTATGAAAGTATAGTAGTACCAACACTCTTATAGGGGTGTGAAGCTTGGGTTGTGAATGCAGCAGCGAGGAGACGGTTGGAGGCAGTGGAGATGTCCTGTCTAAGGGCAATGTGTGGTATAAATATTATGCAGAAAATTCGGAGTGTGGAAATTAGAAGGTGTAGAGTTAATGAAAGTATTAGTCAGAGGGCTGAAGAGGGGTTGTTGAGGTGGTTTGGTCATTTAGAGAGAATGGATCAAAGTAGAATGACATGGAGAGCGTATAAATTTGTAGGGGAAGGAAGGCAGGGTAGGGGTCGCCCTCGAAAAGGTTGGAGGGAGGGGGTAAAGGAGGTTTTGTGGGCAAGGGGCTTGGACTTCCAGCAAGCGTGCACGAGCGTGTTAGATAGGAGTGAATGGAGACGAATGGTATTTGGGACCTGATGAGCTGTTGGAGTATGAGCAGGGTAACATTTAGTGAAGGGATTCAGGGAAACCGGTTATTTTCATATAGTCGGACTTGAGTCCTGGAAATGGGAAGTACAATGCCTGCACTTTAAAGGAGGAGTTTAGGATATTGGCAGTTTGGAGGGATATGTTGTGTATCTTTATACGTATATGCTTCTAAACTGTTGTATTCTGAGCACCTCTGCAAAAACAGTGATTATGTGTGAGTGTGGTGAAAGTGTTGAATGATGATGAAAGCATTTTCTTTTTGGGGATTTTCTTTCTTTTTTGGGTCACCCTGCCTCGGTGGGAGACGGCCGACTTGTTAAAAAAAAAAAAAAAAAAAAATCAGGGACACCGGTTATTTTTATATAGCCGGATTTTAGTCCTGGAAACTGGAAGTACAATGCCTGCACTTTAACCCTTTGACTGTCGCGGCCGTATATATACGTTTACGAGGTACCATGTTTGACATATATATACTCATAAATTCTAGCGGCTTCAAATCAGGCAGGAGAAAGCTGGTAGGCCCACGTGTGAGAGAATGGGTCTGTGTGGTCAGTGTGCACCATATAAAAAAAATCCTGGAGCACGCAGTGCATAATGAGAAAAAAAAAACTCCGACCGTTTTTTTTTTAATTAAAATGCCGACTTTGTGGTCTATTTTCGTATAGTATTTGTGGTTGCATTCTCGTTTTTTTGGTCTCATTTGTTAGAATGGAAACTATATTATAGAAATAGAGGTGATTTTGATTAATTTTACTATAAAAACAACCTGGAAATGGAGCACAAATTACGGGAAATGTTTGATTTTTGCTGATGTTCAAAAGTAAACAAATGATGTCATTGTCCTATAAATGTCCAAATAGCCATTCTAATATGCAGTCATGAATGGGTTATGTAATTTATACAATTATTGCTGTAGTCTGCATAACAGTAAATCTTCTATTTTTTTGTTTGAATAAAATTCCAAAATAAAAAGCAAGAGTAATATCACAGGGGCCTGGAGACATGACTGATGAACAAAGAAAATGTTATTTTAGAGCCAGGAATGTCTGCATTGTTCATTCTGGTCCTTATTTTGAAATTGTCATATTTTTTAATTTTCGTGAAATTGGCCAAATTACAAATTTCTGACCATGTTATTGGGTAGTTGAAATCGGTAAATGGGCAGTTTCTTGTACTCAATCGATGGAAAAAATGGAGTTCTGAAGAAACAGCTATGAGTTTGGTTGACTGGAATAATGGAATTAGCTGAAAATAGGGCTCAAAGTGGGCGAAATAGCCGATTTGTAAATATCGCTGAGGTTGCTAACTTCGCGAGAGCGTAATTCTGTCAGTTTTCCATCAAATTTCATTTTTTTTGGTGTCTTTACAATCGGGAAAAGATTCTCTATCATTTCATAAGAAAAAATATTTTTTTTTTTTTTTTAAATTTTGCGACACCAGGAGACACCTCAGGATTGGGGGTTGCGACAGTCAAAGGGTTAAAGGAGGGGTTTGGGATATTGGCAGTTTGGAGGGATATGTTGTGTATCTTTAAATGTACATGCTTCTAAACTGTTGTATTCTGAGCACCTCTGCAAAAACAGTGAATATGTATGAGTGAGGTGAAAGTGTTGAATGATGATAAAAGTATTTTCTTTTTGGGGATTTTCTTTCTTTTTTGGGTCACCCTGCCTCGGTGGGAGATGGCCGACTTGTTAAAAAAAAAAAAAAAAGTCTGTTGAGTATACCTGGTAAAGTGTATGGTAGAGTTATTATTGAAAGAATTAAGAGTAAGATGGAGAGCAGGATAGCAGATGAACAAGGAGGCTTTAGGAAAGGTAGGGGGTGTGTAGACCAAGTGTTTGCAGTGAAACATAGGCGAACAGTATTCAGATAAGGGTAAAGAGGTTTTAGTGGCATTTATGGATTTGCAAAAGGTGTATGACAGGGTGGATAGGGGGGCAAAGTGGCAGATGCTGCAAATGTATGGAATAGGAGGTAGGTTACTGAAAGCAGTGAAGTCTCTATGAGGATAGCGAGGCTCAGGTTAGAGTATGTAGGCGAGAGGGAGATTATTTCCCAGTAAAAGTAGGCCTTAGACACGGATGTGTGATGTCACCATGGTTGTTCAACATATTTATAGATAGAGTTGTAAATGAAGTGAATGCTCGGGTGTTGGCAAGAGGTGTGGGGTTAAGAGATAAAGAATCTAACACAAAGTGGGAGCTGTCACAGTTGCTCTTTGCTGATGACACTGCTTTTGGGAGATACTGAAGAGAAGTTGCAGAGGTTGGTTAATGAGTTTGGTAGGGTATGTAAAAGAAGGAAATTAAAAGTGAATATAGAAAAGAATGTGATGAGGATAATAAATAAATTAGCTAACAGAAGATTAGATATCAGATTGGAGGGAGAGAGTATGGAGGTGAATGTATTCAGATATCCGGGAGTGGACATGTCAGTGGATGGGTCCATGAAAGACGAGGTAAATCATAGGATTGATGAGGAAAAAAAGGCTAGTGGTGGACTGAGGAGTTTGTGGAGACACAACTTTATCCATGAAGGTAAAGAAGGGAATGTATGAGAGTAGAGTTATACCAATGCTCTTGTATGGGTGTGAGGAATGGGTTGTGAATGTTGCAACAAGAAGGCTGGAGGCAGTGGAGATATCATGCCTGAGGGCAATGTGTGGTGTGAATATAATGCAGAGAATCCATAGTTTGGAGATTAGGAGGTGTGAGATTACCGAAACTATTATCCAGAGGGCTGAGAAGGGGCTAGAGATGGTTTGGACATGTAGAGATGCTGAAAGGAAATAAAATGACTTCGAGAGTGCATAAATCTTTAGTGGAGGGAAGGCAGGGTAGGGGTCAACCTAGGAAAGGTTGGAGGGAGGGGGTAAAGATTTTGTGTGCGAAGGGCTTGGACTTCCAGCAAGCGTGTGAGCGTGTTAGATAGGAGCAAATGGAGACAAATGGTTTTTAGGACTTGATGTGCTGTTGGAGTATAAGCAAGGTAACATTGATGAAGGGATTCAGGAAAACCAGCAGGCTGAACTCGAGTCCTGGAGATGGGAAGTGCAGTGCTGGCACTCTGAATGAGGGGTGTTAATTTTGCAGTTTTATAACTGTAGTGTAAGCATGCCTCTGGCAAGACAGTCATGAAGTGAATGACGATGAAATTTTTTCGTTTTCAGGCCACCCTGCCTTGGTAGGAAACGGCCAATGCGTTAATAAAGGAGGGATTCAGGATATTAGCAGTTTGGAGGGATATGTTGTGAATCTTTATACATATATGCTTCTAAACTGTTGTGTTCTATGCACCTCTGCAAAAACAGTGATTATGTGTGAGTGTGGTGAAAGTGTTGAATGATGATGAAAGTATTTTCTTTTTGGGGACTTTCTTTCTTTTTGGGTCACCCTGCCTCGGTGGGAGATGGCCGATTAAAAAAAAAAAAAAAAATAATAATAATAATAATAATAATAATAACTAACCTCAATGCATTTTAAAATGAAATGTTATAATAGTTGTCACAAAATAAAAATCTTGTAAAAAAAAAAAAATTATTACTTTAGTGACAGTGAAAAATAGTTTTTTAACACATTGGCCGTCTTCCACCAAGTCAAGGTGACCCAAAGAAGAAACACTTTCTCCATCATTCACACATAATCACTGTCTTTGCAGAGGTGCAAGGGGCTAGTAACCCTTTCTCCTGTATACATTACTAAATGTAAAAAAAAAAAAAAAATAATAATAATTATAATAAAAAAAAACATACCCTCCTAAACCAATTAATGTAATACTGTATCTCCTTTACAGGTCTCAGGAGACAAAACAACATATAGTACTATAACTAACACCAAAGCAGTTGCAATTTATACATACCTGGATAAGTAGTTTATCCACAGTAATCTGTAACTCATTCTTAAGACTGTGTGTAGTTGATGCATGAGTGGTACACACACTGGCAATATTTTTTGTCAGGTGTACCATGCTGCTGTTGGCAGCTTTAGTATTTTCTTGGACTAAATTGAGGCTTGAGCGTACATCTGACATGCCTTCATTACTAGATACCGCAAATGCCTGAACATCATTTTCTAACTCCGTAAACTTGGCCTTAAGGCTGTTGAAGGCAGAATAGAGGTGCTGAAAATAAAATGAGAAACAGTAGTAACCTTATTCCTTCATATATTAAAAAAGGTGTTGCATGTCAGAAAAGTCTACGTCACAATCAGACGAGAAAAACACAGGAGTGGTGTCGACTGGAGCTATGGAGCTTATGGGTCTCTTAGCCTAGCTTATGAATGCAGAGGACAATATAAACACATTTCCACAAACGAACAAAACAATGAGTAATTAATCCTATCACTATCCTGGATTTTGGCCATGGAGGCACTTCTTTTCTGCCATGCAACACATCATATATAACTTTGTTAATTCCATACTATTCCAATACAGTGGACCCCCGCATAACGATTACCTCCGAATGCGACCAATTATGTAAGTGTATTTATGTAAGTGTGTTTGTACGTGTATGTTTGGGGGTCTGAAATGGACTAATCTACTTCACAATATTCCTTATGGGAATAAATTCAGTCAGTACTGGCACCTGAACATACTTATGGAGTGAAAAAATATCGTTAACCGGGGGTCCACTGTACTTGGAAAAATGCATCTGTAATTATACCAGTTAACTTTATTGCTGTTATTCTTTCATATCCTCTGCATCATCAGTAACAATGCAAGGAAAATGACTTTCACATGTGCACCACCTAGGTATTGCTATTTGAGGGATGTTTCAGCTGCAAAGCAGGCTTTTTCTAAATCTAATGGAGGCATGAGGACAAAGACCTTAAAAGAGTAGATTTGCTCTGGAGTATGAGTACAGGGGAGATTTTCAACTCCAGTTAACTTCTAGCCCACCTTATAAGCATGACCTACTTTCACTAGTGAATTTCAGCTACTTCTGACGTCATCAACGACTGGAACCTCATATGTCTTTCATAATAGATTATATATAAACTGTTCATCATCCCCAGGACAAAAAACTTCTGAGAGTGCCTGTTAGAGAAGTGATGCCATAATACATACTGTACCTCCCACCATTTCTCACTTCCTTCACCAAAGATGGATCCATTGTTTAGCAGAGGCAGTGGTGATGATATAGCCCCCTGTTTTATGAGTTCACAATATAAAACTGAAAAAAAAAAATATATATCAAATATCTTTTTTGTTATTGTTGGACTGAAGGGTTGCGATGGCCCCTAGGCCAATTATTGTTGGCTTGAAAGGTTACAAGAGCTAAGGATCATTTGTTTTGGTATATGAGAAGGGTGTGGCTACTGAAGTTGATGGTAATGAAGGGTACTTTGAAGTCATCAGTGACTGCAGACTCTTTTCACAAGTTTTCTCATGCCTATAGGCATCTGGCATGGAAGGAATGGGAAGAGTGAAGACAGCATACAACCAGGTAGATTAAGCTTCTCATACAAGGGCCAGAAAAAATTGTTGTACATTGGTTTTCTGATTTTTCATGTCTGTAACCCTTATTAGCAGCTACCATTACATTTTGAGTTGTATATACAACTGCCTTTGGTAAACACATGGCAGAGACAAATTAATATGTATGAGATGGCCAATAACATCATGCTTAGCAGAGAAGACTGTTAACCATACCACACACACACTGGTACAGTAAGTGAAAAAGTCCACCCTTGCATGACATCCATAATTAGCTTTTGACTGCTACTTTATCCAATGCATTGAATCTCAGTATAAGCATATTTGGTGGCTACCTTTGTTTGGTACATTTTGATCAAGAAATGTAGATTTTTTTTTTGTTTGGCAGACAATTTTTTTAGTCTCTTGTTTATGGATGAAATACATTGATATATGGCATAAAAATACTCAAGAGGTGTATTCTACAAAACTAGCAATATAAAAAATTCAACCTTTCCAACCACCTAATGTGTCTAATTGGAAGGTCATGTATAGAGCAGAGGCTTTTCTTGAGTTCAGATAATCAAAATAATCAGAAACAATACATACAGGATAGATAAATTAATTATAAAATGAGAAGAGCTGAACACACTTTTCTAACCTGTGACTGTGTTTCTGATGATACTATCAAGTTATTCACAATGTCAAGGCAGGCTGTGATATGACAGGTATGGTTTTCCAAATGAGCGTTCATCTCTTCTTCCAGCTGGCAAACTAGTTTGCAATGTTGCTGGTGGAAATTTTCACACCCATCATCTATGGCAGTTAGCTGTGGGTAAAAATATACAGTAATTAAAAAAAGTGGTCAGATCATAACTTTCTTTTTCTGACAAATCTTTTGTCAGAAAAAGATGAATGGACATTTTGCTATAAAATGATTGCCTATATCCATAGTATAAATAGTTAGGGGCATTAGTCAACTGTTGAGTGCTACATTTTGAGATACTATACCACTAAAAAATAAAGGAAATGATTAGCAAACTGTGCAAGTCAACCTCATTTCTTTTCAACCTGGCCAAATTAGATAAGACAGAAAACTGCCTTGAAAATCCTACACCAAATATTACCCTCCTCTGATATACCTTTGATGCACTTGATGAGTTCCAAAGTTTTTTCTACTCCCAGATCCCGACCTTGGGCCAGGCTTGTCTGGTGCTTGCCTGGAGATTTCAACTTCCAAATGTTAAACAGATGATAGGCAACAGATGCATACTCTGAGTTAATGGGGTTCTGATGTTTGCTTTGAGCCAACAGATGATAAACCTATAAAAAATGAACACATACTAAACTATCTTCACAAATAATAAAGAACTAATCAGTCAACTATTTTGAAATACTGAGTGGATAGTCAAGTTGGCTTATTTGACTGATATCTTTCCTATCTTAAATGATCTTAGCATCTCCATGCAGATAAGGATGGCTTTATGCTTTACAGTAGCAGACAAGATCAATGGACAGAGACTGAAGCCAGAAGAGTTTTGATGTTTCATAGGAGAGGAGGAAGGAGAGGAGAGAGAACAAAATTTAATATGCACTGGGGCCAAGTGATTATTCAGTACACTGTATGATAAAAACTTTCCACTGCTATACTCATCACACAATCTAGAGAAGCCTTTCAGTCTGGTTCTTAGGAAATGGGGACAAAAGACCTGCATCCTGCCAAGCCCTGTACAGCATCTGCATGCTTGTAAGCTCAGCAAGAACACACAGATGATTGGCCCATAAAGTTAGAGAGGCAAAGTTGTGCTTAATAAAGAATATAAAGGAACAATACATAAATAATCCGCACATAGGCGAATGAAACTTGTGACGGCGTTTCAGTCCAATTTGTCAGACAATAATATCCCAAGTTTCATTCTCCTCAGTGTGGGTTATTTGTGTATTGTACTCAATACTTCCAAGGCACCAACACTAATCTTTGTGTTGGGCTTAGAGATCAGAACAGTTAATGAGTCATAAGTTACAGGCATCCTTGTATACACTTTTAAAGATAAATAACTTCATTCAAGAGAAAATGTAGAAATTCTAACGTAACTTACTTTGCTGTTTAACACTGTATGAAGATCATTGATAACTGTTGAATGGGAGGATATCAAAGAGGCCATTTCATCCAAAATCGGCAGAGATTCATTTTTATGGAAGGTGTGAATACATGCTTTCTGTTGATCACAATCCTGACCAACATGATCATTCATTGCTCTTGAAGATGCAACTTGTGCTTCAACCTGAAATTTGTTATAATTCCAAATAAAAAATGTAGGTAATCAGTATTTTCAAATCCTGTTGTTGGCAAGAAAAAAATTCAGTCGTTTGCATTTTAATTACTACAAAGAAAGTTTTCAATTTTTTTTTTTATATATTAGCACATCAGTCATTTCCCATCAAGTAGGGTGGCCTGAAAAAGACAAACTTTCACCATCATTCACTCCATCACTGTCTTGCCAGAGGCACACTTACACTACAGTTATAAAATTGCAACATTAACACCTCTCCTTCAGAGGGCAGGCACTGTACTTCCCATCTCCAGGACTCGAGTCCGGCCTGCCGGTTTCACTGAATCCCTTCATACATATTACCCTGCTCGCACTCCAACAGCACATTAAGTCCTAAAATCCATTTCGCTCCTATCTAACACACTCATGCAAGCTTGCTGGAAGTCCAAGCCCTCGCACACAAAACCTCCTTTACCCCCTCCCTCCAACCTTTCCTAAGCCGACTCTACCCCATCTTCCCTCCACTACAGATTTATACTCTCTCGAACTCATTCTATTTTATTCCATCCTCTCTGTGCATTAGAAAGAAAAGGCCACCAATCCTGTCATTGTGCAAAAGTGTTAAAAGGCTTCCATTTCACTTGTACAACAGAAAAGTAGTACCCCCTGGATGGTTGCTTTTTACTAACCTAGAGACCTTAAGAAGTGACAAACATTCACTGAACTCAACAATGTAACATTAGTAAAATTAAACCAGAGATTAAAAAAAAAAAAGTCTCCAATAACTCACCTTGTTCTTATAGAGTGATAGGAAGGAATTGATGAGGGATGCTTGGTTTTCCCCAAGAGCCATCAACTGACTACTTATGTCCACAACCTCCTCTCTGCACTGTTTCACACACTTCCCTAGTTTAGGTAACAAAAACTGTCAGAAAAGCCTTCAGTAACACTTGAGCCTGTTTTTTGACAAAAAAATTATATGAATGTCAACTGTATAAAAATAAAAATGAACAGGTGAATTTGTTGTATAAAAATAAGAATAATGGTGTTCTCCATGCTTATTTCTGTAATAGCAGGACATACATGAATCAGTTTGATGCAGTCAATGAAATATCCTTCAACTCCTGAAAGTGAAAAAAAAAGTTTTTTTTTTTTTGTTCTTTTTATCTCCCACCAGGGCAAAGCCACCCACAAAAGTGAAACACGTTCACCATTATTTATTCAAACTGTGTTTAGTCAAAAAGTGTGATCCCATCACAACTGCAATCTCTAACTACAACATTCCCACTCCTCCTTCAGAGCGAAGGCACTGAACTGTCCACCTCTAGGATTCAAGTCTGGCTAAGCAGTTTTCCATGAATCCCTTCATAAATGATACCTTGTTCATACTCCAACAGTACATCTATTTAAATCACTATTATCCACTCTCTAACACTCATACAAGTCTGCCAAATGCTGAAGCCTCTTTAACCCCTCACTCCAACCATTTCTGGGATGACCCTTACACCACCTACATGCCACCCCAAATTTATAAACCCTCATCTTATCCCTCTCCATACTCTAAATACCCTAACCACTACAGCACTTCTCTTCAATCTTCTTAATTATATATACCTTTGGTGACCCCACACCATCTCATTTCTACATTCTGAACATTAGACACTACTCTCAAATATGACATGCCTCAAGCCTTCTTGCAGCACCCCATTCAAGGCTAATGCCTCACATCCATATAAAAATATTGGTACCACCATACTCTAGTACATCATCCTTCTTATGCCTCCACAGATGCCACAACCCCACCTACCCTTTTCCCATCAACTATTCTATAGTTCACTTTCTTTCCTAGATCTCTCTGCTGATATAAAAAAAAATCACTACATTATCTCCACTGGGAAGTGGAACAGAATTCTTCCTGTGTAAGCCATGCATATTGTAAGAGGTGACTAACATGCCATGAGAAAGGGGCTAGTAACCCCTTCTCCTGTATATGTTACTAAATTTAGAGAGAAACTTTTGTTTTCCTTTTTGGCCCACCCTTCCTCGGTGGGATACAGTCGGTTTGTTGAAGGAAGAACATTCACTGTCTCCATATCCCCCTCCCTTCAATTCAATATTCAATCACTGCCTAGGCTTTTTCCATCGTCTAGCTCATTTTTAATTTTTTACCTTTGCATACTCTCCCAAATTAGTCCACCTACCTTTTGAACATGTCTTCAGAATCTCCCAGAAACAACTGCTTTGTCATTGACCAAGAGCAGCTATGACAACCCCCACTTTGTATCAGATCCAACATCTTTTAATCTTACACCTCTCATCACCCCAACATTCACTTCTACAAACCCATTTATAAAAATATTAAACAACCATATGCACATTACACATTCTTGCCCAAGTCCTACTTTCAAGGGGAAGATAATCCTTCGTCCAACATTACCCTAACCTGAGCCTCATTATCCACAAAGCCTCTTGACTGCTTTTAGTAGCATGCTACCTATGCCATAAATGCAACAAACAGATCCTTACCCTTCATCTAAGTACTTGTCACTTTTTTTTAACATGTCGGCCATTTCCCACCAAGGCAGGGTGACCCAAAAAGAAAGAAAAATCCAAAAAAAGAAGAAAAAACTTTCATCATTTAACATTTTTACCATTACTCATTCATAATCACAGTGTTTGCAGAGGCACTCAGATACGACAGCTTAGACGTCTCTCCAAACTGCCAATATCCCAAGCCCCTCCTTTAAAGTGCAGGCATTGTACTTCCCATTTCCAAGACTTAAGTCCAGCTAACTGGTTTCCCTGATTTTTTTTTTTCAACAAGTCGGCCGTCTCCCACCGAGGCAGGGTGACCCAAAAAAGAAAGAAATCCCCAAAAAGAAAATACTTTCATCATCATTCAACACTTTCACTTCACTCACACATAATCACTGTTTTTGCAGAGGTGCTCAGAACACAACAGTTTAGAAGCATATACGTATAAAGATACACAACATATCCCTCCAAACTGCTAACATCCTAAAACCCCTCCTTTAGAGTGCAGGCATTGTACGTACTTCCCATTTCCAGGACTCAAGTCCGGCTATATAAAAATAACCGGTTTCCCTGAATCCCTTCATAAATTATTACCCTGCTCACACTTCAATAGCTCATCAGGTCCCAAAAACCGTTTGTCTCCATTCACTCCTATCTAACATGCTCACACATGCCTGCTGAAAGTCCAAGCCCCTCGAACAAAAAACCTCCTTTTCCCCCTCCCCCCAACCATTTCAAGGATGACCCCTACATTGCCTTCCTTACCCTACAGATTTATATGCTCTCCAAGTCATTCTACTTTGTTCCATTCACTAACTAACCAAACCACCTCAACAACCCCTCTTCAGCCCTCTGACTAATACTTTTAGTAACACCATTTATATGCTTTAATTCAAACACCATCTACACGTCCCTTGTGTATCATAAATCCTTCCTTCTCTACAATCCTACTTTATCTTACCGCTAACCCCCTCAATAATAATTCTACCTTACACTTTACCTGGTTTCCTCAGCAGGCTTATCCCCCTATAATTCTTACATTCACTCTTGCCCCCTTTTCTCTCTGTACAAGGGAACCACACATGTTATCTGACAATCCTTTGGCACTTTCCTTTTTACATGCATAAACTGAACCATTTTTTTATATATATATATTGAAGTAATACACCAATCACTCCAGCACTGGGTATATTTTCTTTGTATTCTTATAAATATCTAGACAATATTTTACTTACCAAACTGGGAAGCAATATTATGAACAGCATCACTCTGCTGGGCAACAGTTGATGACAGATCTGTTCGCATTGCCTCTACACACTTCAGGTAAGATTGGTGGAACTCTTCACAAGTTTCTAAATTTTTACTTTCAACCTGACTAAAAAAAAAAGAAAAAAATTATTAAATACTAAACACTGTCTCTAAATGTTACAGTAAGGTCATTGACAATAGTAGGCAGTGTAATAGCAGGATGTGTAAAGGTAGAAAGTTGAAAGTGAGCATAGATAAGAGTAAGGTGATGAGGGTATCAAATTATTTAGATGAAAAATTGGATATCACATTGGAGAGAGGGAGTATGGAAAAAGTGAATGTTTTCAGATATTTGGGAGCTGACTTGTCAGCAGATGGCCTTATGAAGGATGAGGTTAACAACAGAACTGATGAAGGAAAAAAGGCGAGTGGTGTATCGAGGTATCTGTGGAGACAAAAAAAAAACGTTATTCATGAAGGCAAATTAAGAGTAAGACAGAGAATAGGATAGCAGATGAACAAGGAGGCTTTAGGAAAGGTAGGGGGTGTGTGGACCAGGTGTTTACAGTGAAACATATAAGTGAACAGTATTTAGATAAGGCTAAAGAGGTCTTTGTGGCATTTATGGATTTGGAAAAGGCGTATGACAGGGTGGATAGGGGGGCAATGTGGCAGATGTTGCAAGTGTATGGTGTAGGAGGTAGGTTACTGAAAGCAGTGAAGAGTTTTTACGAGGATAGTGAGGCTCAAGTTAGAGTATGTAGGAAAGAGGGAAATTTTTTCCCAGTAAAAGTAGGCCTTAGACACGGATGTGTGATGTCACCGTGGTTGTATAATATATTTATAGATGGGGTTGTAAGAGAAGTAAATGCGAGGGTCTTGGCAAGAGGCGTGGAGTTAAAAGATAAAGAATCACACACAAAGTGGGAGTTGTCACAGCTGCTCTTTGCTGATGACACTGTGCTCTTGGGAGATTCTGAAGAGAAGCTGCAGAGATTGGTGGATGAATTTGGTAGGGTGTGCAAAAGAAGAAAATTAAAGGTGAATACAGGAAAGAGTAAGGTTATGAGGATAACAAAAAGATTAGGCGATGAAAGATTGAATATCAGATTGGAGGGAGAGAGTATGGAGGAGGTGAACGTATTCAGATATTTGGGAGTGGACGTGTCAGCGGATGGGTCTATGAAAGATGAGGTGAATCATAGAATTGATGAGGGAAAAAGAGTGAGTGGTGCACTTAAGAGTCTGTGGAGACAAAGAACTTTGTCCTTGGAGGCAAAGAGGGGAATGTATGAGAGTATAGTTTTACCAACGCTCTTATATGGGTGTGAAGCGTGGGTGATGAATGTTGCAGCGAGGAGAAGGCTGGAGGCAGTGGAGATGTCATGTCTGAGGGCAATGTGTGGTGTGAATATAATGCAGAGAATTCGTAGTTTGGAAGTTAGGAGGAGGTGCGGGATTACCAAAACTGTTGTCCAGAGGGCTGAGGAAGGGTTGTTGAGGTGGTTCGGACATGTAGAGAGAATGGAGCGAAACAGAATGACTTCAAGAGTGTATCAGTCTGTAGTGGAAGGAAGGCGGGGTAGGGGTCGGCCTAGGAAGGGTTGGAGGGAGGGGTAAAGGAGGTTTTGTGTGCGAGGGGCTTGGACTTCCAGCAGGCATGCGTGAGCGTGTTTGATAGGAGTGAATGGAGACAAATGGTTTTTAATACTTGACGTGCTGTTGGAGTGTGAGCAAAGTAACATTTATGAAGGGATTCAGGGAAACCGGCAGGCCGGACTTGAGTCCTGGAGATGGGAAGTACAGTGCCTGCACTCTGAAGGAGGGGTGTTAATGTTGCAGTTTAAAAACTGTAGTGTAAAGCACCCTTCTGGCAAGACAGTGATGGAGTGAATGATGGTGAAAGTTTTTCTTTTTCGGGTCACCCTGCCTTGGTGGGAATCGGCCAGTGTGATAATAATAAAAATAATAATAAATAATGAAGGCAAAAAGGGAATGTATGAAAGTATAGTGGTACCAACACTCTTATATTGGTGTGAAGCTTGGGTTGTAAGTGCTGCAGCGAGGAGGCGGCTGGAGGCAGTGGAGATGTCCTGTCTAAGGGCAATGTGTGGTGTAAGTATTATGCAGAGAATTCAGAGTGTGGAAATTAGGTGGTCGTGTGGAGTTAAAAGTATTAGTCAGAGGGCTGAAGAGGGGTTGTTGAGGTGGTTTGGTCATTTAGAGAGAATGGATCAAAGTAGAATGACTTGAAGAGCATGTAAATCTGTAGGGGAAGGAGGGAGTAGGGGTCGTCCTTGAAAAGGTTGGAGGGAGGGGGCAAAGGAGGTTTAGTGGGCGAGGGCCTTGGACTTCCAGCAAGCGTGTGTGAGCATGTTAGATAGGAGTAAATGGAGATGAATAGTTTTTGGGACTTCACGAGCTGTTGGAGTGTGAGCAGGGTAATATTTAGTGAAGGGATTCAGGGAAACCAGTTATTATAGATTTAGCTGGACTTGAGTCCTGGAAATGGGAAGTACAATACCTGCACTTTGAAGGAGAGGTCTGGGATATTGACAGTTTGGAGGGACTTCTAAACTGTCGTATCTGAGTGCCTCTGCAAAGACAGTGATTATGTATGAGGTAAAAGTGTTGAATGATGATGAAAGTATTTTCTTCTTGGGGATTTTCTTTCTTTTTGGATCACCCTGCCTCAGTGGGAGATGGCCGACTTGTTGAAAAAAAAAAAATGGGAAAATTAAGTCTCAAAGAGTAAAAGTGGAGAGGGAATAGTGAGTTTACATTTTTTTTTTTTTTTCAACAAGTCGGCCGTCTCCCACCGAGGCAGGGTGACCCAAAAAAAAGAAAGAAAATCCCCAAAAAGAAAATACTTTCATCATTCAACACTTTCACATATATAGAAATATATATAGAAATATACATATATAGAAATATTAGACAGGTTCTTAAAGATTGTGTAAAAAAATCTTAAATGAAAGAGGAGGATTTGCAGGGACTTAAGTATCAAGCAGTAATGTGCGTGCATTATATTCATGGAGAAGCACTAACCCAACAGAAGTCATAGTGTCTAGGAAATGGGTGGTAATCAGGTTTGATACAAAGAAAGGAAGGGTAACAAATTCCTTGAAAGCATACATTACACCAGAGCAAATTGGTGTCCGAGATATGGAGTAGTGTCAAAGTTGGAGCAAAGTATCTATAGACTTGGGAATATTGGCTAGTTAAACTGTGTTGAAGGTTGGCAAGTACTATACAGTGCCTGCACATTTTCTTTCAATATGCAAAGCTTAGGGGAAAAAAAAAACTACCTTTCACCACAGTATTAAAAAACTTAATGTATAGGTTATGCGAGATTTCACTAAGCACATAGATGGTGCAGTAAGTATATAATGAGGGATATGTTGTGTATCTTTATATGTTATGCTTCTAGACTGTTGTATTCTGAGCACCTCTGCAAAAACAGTGATAATGTGCGAGTGTGGTGAAAGTGTTGAATGATGATGAAAGTATTTTCTTTTTGGGGATTTTCTTTCTTTTTTGGGTCACCCTGCCTCGGTGGGAGACGGCCGACTTGTTGAAAAAAAAAAAAAAAAAAAAAAAAAAAAAAAACTTTGCAATATATGCTAAAGATCTACCAACCCTTCCCAAATGGTACTGTCTTCAGCCTCCATTTCCAAGTTTTATAACACTGCTTGTTTGCATTTTATTTGTATGCACTGAATTATTTGGCTTCATGTTAAAACTAAGGATATATGGTTTATTCCTGTTATAAGAGAATTAACACTAAAACAATGAGGCCACATTGATGCTTGGAGAAGGCTCATACAGCATAAGCCATTGTAGCCCTTAAAAAGCAAAAGAAAAAACATCGATACTTCTGAAACTCCACCACTGCAGCTACATTTTCCTATCTTGCTTTGAGCTATACCCAAGTGGACCCCTCTCCACCCAACAGATCAAGGTGTAGTCCAACATGTTTTATGGCAACGCTGAGTAAACCAACTTTCTTAAATAGCCAATAGGGAAATCCACTGTCTAATTTCAACAGACATCATCTCATTAATATACTCCAGTGTTTTTAGCTTCATGACTGCTGAGATTTAAGATATAAAAACAGTTGCAGAAATAAAACAGGCCAAAACCTAATATCTGATGCACTAATAAATGCATCTTGGAAAGTACAGTAATCCCTTACTTTGCAAAAGGGTTACTGAATAAATTTAAAACCGTGGTCCATCAAGCATCAAGGAAACATACATTATACTGTCAAGACTTCTAAGTCAATGCCAGCCCTAAAATTACAGTAATACACAACGCATTAATATTCTGGCAACAACGCTGTTAAGCAGTGTGGCACGAGAGCAAGCAGTACCCTGTTGAATGCCTGGGTCCCTCAGTACATGCAAACCCCTCATTGCTGAGGTCTTGGCACATTTTTGGAAGGGGGGGGGGGGGTTAAGCGGAACAAGCCAGTCACTGACCCAGGAAGGTTGTTGCCCTT